CTTGATAAGCTGGAGTTAGGTTTCATAGAAAATAGAGGGGTTATGTTTGTTTCTTATTTTTCTTGAGGTTTTTTTTTTGGTGGGGGGGAGTGAGGGGAGAAGGAAATAGAAAGGCTTTTCTTTTGCTCTATGAAAACCCAAACCAAGTTTAGGCTTTTACAGGTTTACAATAAAGTAAGCACAGTCCTGTGATTTGTAGGTTCCTGTCACATATAGACAGCTACATTTTTTTGGTAATACCGCCATCTTCTTCTATTTGCTTCTTCCACTCTCCATCCTTCTTCTATGATCCCCCCACCCAACCCCCACAATTATAGATAATGGACTATTCTACATTTGTAATTGGCTAGAGTGGATGGAGGACCTACTCAACACTTTGGCTTGGGTGTTTCATAAGCACCACGCACGCAGCTGAGCCAGATTTAAATACTTGATTTCTACCCCTCTTCCCCAAACTGACTTCTCCTTAGCCTCCCTCTCCTTGTCCTTAGCCTCCCTCTCCTTGTCCTTAGCCTCCCTCTCCTTGGTAGTCACCATCTTCAATAAAAATGTTCACCTAGAAACATAAATCAGACCAGGTTTGTCCATTGGATTTTGCTGTGAAGTCTCAACATCTGAATATAACCGACAACCTTTCTTGTTTTTCCAGCCTACCTCCCAGGCCTCTGCAGTCTTTCCCACTACCCTCCAGGCCTCCTGTGTAGTCTCTTAAAAGGCTCTACCTGCCGCCTCTGTCTGGGTGGCTGCTCCTCATTTGTCAGCTCTCCATGGAGACGCCATCATCTTTGAAATGCCTTTCCTCACGGCCAACCGCAGGCTCTGCTTCTCCAGGGCAGTCATTCTGTGCCAATCTCCAACACCTGCCACCACAGTACTTTAACTTGCTGTAATTCAACTTGACTAGTTTTAGTCACAAGGACTGTATCAAAAAGCGGGTCTGTCTCCTGTTGTTTTCTCAGCATCTAGTAGTGTGCTCAGCACATAGCAAGCACATTAATCTAGTTGAATTAAGCTAGTTGAATCCACAAACAGAACTCTGGGAGGTTGAGGGGAAGTGACCCCAAGGGACATATCCACCATTGTTTCTGGAGCACTAGGGGGCTTTAAGTCACTAATGTGACCACCTGTACTATGGTGGCTTGTGTGTGGCTTTGATGCTGGAAGCTATGCTGTCAGTATTTGAAACACTAGCAGGGTCACCTATTGTGGACGGGTTTCAGCAGTGAGCATGGACTAGGTAAAAAAAGCCTAGGGGTCTACACAGAGTCATCCACGAAGTCCTTATGGATCACAACAAGATGTCGTTCCCTAGATTTAAGGGCACTCAGAGTACAACTGCAACCATAGACTCGAACATATCGACTATGGCCAAGAACTGCGCGACATTTTATTTTGTTTTCTATGGAGTCCTATGAGTGGAGCCGACCAGCTAGCAGCTACCAACACATCACTAACCTGACAACAATGACTGCTTCTAGTCTGTCCCTAGAGGCTGGGGTTACCACATAGTACGAGACAGACAAAAGTGTCTGCCCTCAGAATCTTTCTCATTTGTACTCGAGATGGGAAGGGTGGTATAGAAATGCTAAGCGTCAGCACTTCTTCCACTCACCTCCATTGTTTTAGTTCCTCTTCTTGCTTATCCATGCTCCCCTGACCCCATCCCAGAATGTGCCACCATAAATTCTACTCTGAGAGCTAAAATTCATCTGCTACCCACTTGAGCTTTCTCTCTCTCTCTCTAACCAAAGCTCTGGGATGTTAAATGAGGGTTGGTCAGCTCTGCCCAAGACAGCCTTTAACACTACACCCAACCCATCTACTCCGCTAAAGTCACCTTTGCCTACCCAATGTGGCATATGTGAGAGCTTACAATTGTCCCCAAGTGACTTTTTGAAATCTTTGTGTTTTTACTCCAAAGCAAGAAATAACGTATTCACTGTGGCATTTGTTTTGGGGAGAGACCGTGTGTGTGTGTGTGTGTGTGTGTGTGTGTGTGTGTGTATACACTCGTGTATTTAATCCCTGCTTTCCCTCAAATATGTATTATATCTATTCTTCTTACTGGATTTCCTATATTTGTCTATGTCTATACTTAGAACAGGATTAAGACCCTGTGGAACTTTAATTTACTCTGCTGTGCCATCCAAATTCCAAAGGGCAAAATGGAGCCAGCAAATTCCAGAATTTTGCAAGGTTACTTTATCATCATATTTGATGTAATTTAACTTAATTAAAAATAAATTTCTCTTTGAAGCAGTTGCTGAGCAACTGGGGAGGGAGGGCAGACTCAACAAGGCTAATTTGGTTCCGTTACTAGTATGTTTGCATCTCATCTCATATCTTTGCATAGACAGTTGGTTGTAAATACCAGCGCTCAGTTTTGCCCAAAGGAAAGAGTTGGCATACAAGATAGAGCCAGACTTTGGATGGATTGGCCATGGTGAACGTGACATGGTCTGAAGTTTACAGACCATTTGCTAAGTGAGGGCTTGATGTGGTGAAGCTACGGACAGTCACACATGGTGCTTTCCATTTGTGCTGTCCCTCAGCACCCAGGATCCAGTCCCCATTGTTCCCCAAGTCAACTTAGAAACACCTCTTAGCTATCGTATTATGAACTACGTTGGAAAAAAGAATAAACTATTTTACTCTAGTGTCTTTTTCTTTATAAAATATGAAATTAACCCCATTTGATCTATAAAGTAGACCTGCATCAAATGTTAATGCAGGTAGATTAAATGTTTTGAATACTTTTTTTTTTTCTGTTAAGTTCTGGCCTTCTCAAGGAAATCACCTTGACCCTAGCACAGATCCTTCTGTTCCATGTCAAAGATAGTCCATTCGCTGATGACCAACAGCCCCCTGGTGTGTGTGATTGTTTGCAGGATGAATGGAGAGTTCACACCTATCTAGCTGGTAGGTAAAGCAGGTTCTGCAGTGAAGTCATGATGTTACCATCTATGGGTTTAACAGCAGTGACCTGGACTACATAATGTGTAGTCAGCATTATGCAGTAGAGAGTGTTCTTTTAGGATATTAATGCATAAAAGTAAATTGAAGTGGAAACGACTATCTGTTAAACTCATTTCCTGCTCTGACCTTTGTCCTCGAAAGACCATGGGCTGTATCTTTCACATACAGAGAAAATATACTTTCAGTTGATAAATCTGTCAGATTCTTGATAAAGATTGATATCATTGATCTTGTTTTAGCGTTAAAGAAACCCTGGTGGCTCAGTGGCTAAGTGTTTGGCTGTTAACCAACACGCACCAATTCAAATCCAACACTGTCCTTGGGAGGAAAAAAAAAGCTGTGATGGTGTGCTTCTGTACAGAATACAGCCTAGGAAACCTTGTAAGGCAGCTTGGCTTTGTCACATGGGGTTGCTGTGAGTTGCAATGGGCTTGATGACATATTTATGACTGCCTGTGACTCTGTGTGAATATACTGAGGAAGGAGATCATAGAACTGGGGAAAGTTCTTTTTATTTCTACTGTTAAGTGATGTATTTTGCCCCTGAATATGCTAACTTTTTGTGTGTCCAGGATATGATACAAATTTATTGATCCCATCTAGAGGAGAGATTGATCTGAATTGGGACAGATGTCTCAGTGTCTGTACTTGACAACAATAAGAATTTGTCTCACTTTGAGACAGTTAATAAGATAAGACAAGGTTTACCTGCTCAAGGTTCCTTAAAGGAGTTCATTTTGACTAATAAATGAGGACTAATAAACTCATACATTTAGTAGACCAGATGTCCTTAAGAGCCGGTTGTGTACTACTTTCAGGGTGTCGTTTTGTGCATGTTGAGGATTGACTCGCATTTACCAGTTCTACTCTACAAATACTTAACATGTGAAAACTGCATGTGACAAAATGTAACCTTCAAGGTTTTCAGTTTTAAACATGTCCCAGGGCAGTGATGGCACAGTTCATTTTAAAAAGCCCATTTGTAGGCCACTGGAGATCCACATGCAGAGGGGTCTCAGGGAGGAGACGAGCCAGTCAGGGTGCGATGTAGCAACGATGAAAAATACAACTTTCCTCTGATTCCTAAATGCTTCCTCCCCCCCCCCCACTATCATGATCCGAATTCTACCTTGCAAGTCTGGCTAGACCAGAGGATGTACACTGGTACAGATAGGAACTGGAAACACAGGGAATCCAGGGCGGATGATCTCTTCATGACCAGTGGTGCGAGTGACGATACTGAGAGGGTAGAGGGAGAGTGGGTTGGAAAGAGGGAACCGATTACAAGGATCTACATGTGACCTCCTCCCTGGGGGACGGACAACCAAAAAGTGGGTGAAGGGAGACGTGGGACAGGGCAAGATATGACAAAATAATAATTTATAAATTATCCAGGGCTCATGAGGGAGGGGGAGCGGGGAGCGAGGGGAGAAAATGAGGACCTGATGCCTGGGGGTTAAGAGGAGAGCAAATGTTTTAAGAATGATGAGGGCAATGAATGTACAAATGTGCTTTAAATAATTGATGTATGTATGGATTGTGATAAGAGTTGTATGAGCCCCTAATAAAACGATTGAAAAAATGTTCATGGGTATGCCCTTAAACTATGTACATTTATGCAAATGTCACAGTGTGTGTGAATCTATCAAATAATATTTATGGATAGGTAGTAGATATGCATATCTTAGTGCATTGAATATATTATGAAAACAAGGAAATAAGCATTTACAATTAAAGATTAGTAAAATGCTGTATGCTGTTGGTCACAAGGGCTTCATATTTGTGCCTTAGAGCACATGGTAGTTAAAGGTCAGGCTCCTCATTAAAGACCATTTAGAAGGTTTGGTTTGTGACTACAAATTTCTGGGTGACTATTTTCAGATCTGACCAGATCAGTCGTTGTTTTTACCTTTTACTGGCTGACAAAAAGAGTAAGGAGAGCAAGGGGAGCACGTCCTCCATAATTTGAGGGAACAGACGCCTCAGTAACAGTTGTCTGTCTTGTTTTCACACTTTGCTTCTAGACTGCCTCTTCAAGCTGTGCCCCATGAACCGCTACTCTGCCCAGAAGCAGTTTTGGAAAGCTGCGAAGCCAGGGGCCAACAGCACAACGGACGCGGTCCTTCTCAACAAGCTGCACGTACGTACCAGTGGGGTGTGGGTGACCAGGTGCAGTGAGAGGCGAGGGGATCCTACACTCTGTTCGTCTTTGGTGCCAGTATCCTTACGTTAATTGACAAAAGGGGTAAAAGAGAGATGACCGCAAAGACAGGTGGGTCACAGTCATTTTGAGACGACGTAAACTCACTGCCATTGAATTATGAGAGAAGCTTTTCCTCCACACGCTGGGGTGGCACTGGGCAATGTAGTGGCCACAAGCACAAGCTGTGAAGGTCAACTGCCTGGATTTGCATACTGGCTCCTCCATGCACCCACTGGTCATCTTGGGCAAGTTGCTATCCTGATTTGTATGGAACAATAATAAAATACCCACCTTAGGAGGTCTTTGAGAGGATTCCGTGAAATGATGCATACAGGAAACATGACTAGCAACACCTTGCACATAATAAGTATGCAGTGAATGCTTGTTGTTATTATTTTATTTCCATTGATAAACGTCTAGTATAAAAGAGATATGATTATTTCATTCCTGGTGTGCGTGTGATCATAAGCACTTTTTTGAACCTCTCTGATCCTATTTTACCAGTTTCATGAAGACACAATTCTTCTAATATCCTGCACTGTGAGGATACTCTGTGGTCCTTTGGAATGGTTAGGGAAGGGACATTGTGTCAACCACTGTAGTATCATTGAAGGTACAACCCATCTCCTACCTACTTCTTCTGCTTGATGTTTCTCCGCTTGTTACATCTCTTGATGTAAATCGTCATGACTTCTCTAATTTATCTTACTTGCTATCTTTTCCAAATGGATTGTAAACTCGATACAGGTAGAGTTTTTACCTGCCCCGCTTTGCGTCCCCCGCTTCCCCACTTCCCTTCGTTCTTTTTTATTGCTGTATCCTTTGTGTCTGGAACAGAGTGTGATACATGCTAAGTACCTAAATATTTGACTGAAAGAATAAATGGTGATTCTGGAGGCTTGGTGCTGGCAGCCAGAGTCAGCGTCTCACAGAGCACGCGGGAGCTCACAGCTTGTTTTGCTCTTGTTGCTGTTGTTGAGTGCCCACAAGTCCCCGCCTACTCCAAGTGACTTCATATTACCAAGTTGAACTGCCCTATAGGGTTTACAAGGCTGTAATCCCTACTTTGGGCATGTCATTAGGAGAGACCAGTTTCCAGAGAAGGACATCGTGCTTGGTAAAGTTGAGGCGCAGGGAAAGAGGGGAGGTCCCTCAGTTAGATGGATCGAGACAGTGGCTGCAGCAGTGGACTCAGGCATAGGAACGATGGTGAAGACAGAGCGGGGCCAGGAAGTGTTTTGTTATGTTGTGCATGGGGTTGCTATGGGTCAAAACCGACTGATGGCACTTAGCAACCACAGTCTTTATGGGAACAGGTTGCCAGGCCTTTCTCTCCTGGAGCCATCAAGCTGTTCAGGTAGCAGCCAGGGCTGCTTCCATTTGACTGGCATGGGGCAAAGTCACAGCCTTTGTCAAGCAAAGGTCAGGTAAAGGTATGCTTTCACGTAGTCTGCGTGGTGTTAGACGGGGGTAAGATGTCCAGGTTTGAGAGGAAAAGGCCAGCCTCTGGTCACACCATTGCATTTAAAATGAAACCAGGCTTTTTGCTGCCTTCTGCACAGCAGGATGCGTAACAACCCTGCTTTCCTCGCTGACCACCTCTCGTGTTCTTCAGCCACACAGGACAGCGGCATGTCATCTCAGGTTCTCTGTGAGCACCCCAAAGCCATCCCAGTTTCTTGACCTGTGCCCTTTCCTTTGTTTTGACACTCTTCTCTGGGCTCTTCCTGATCCAGGCTCCTTGCATCCTTCAGCAGAGTCTCACCTCACAATGTCTCCCCCAACACCTCGTCTTTGTCTCTCCTTCCTGCTCCTCCCACAGCACCCCACTGAGATCCCTCCCTCCCGAGCCGGGTTGCTTAGTTAGCACATCACTCCATCTGAGCTGACAGCCCTGCAGGGTCAGGGGCTGTGTCTGCCTTGTTCACTAGTATCTCCCCAGCACCTATAACAGTGCCTGGAACACTGAATGTGCTTAAGAAATAAATGTTGGATGTGTGAATGAATGAGCCCCATGGGAGATGTGGGTGATAACATCAGCAGAGTCCTAGTCATCTGAGAGTTTACTGTCTAAGAAGAACAAAGAGGTGGTGACCACCCAGTGTGACAAGAGCTAGAACAGGAACCACCCGAGGCTGCGGGAGCAAGTATAAGAAGGGGCACTGACATCTGTCCTGACTGGGACCGAGGGAGAATTTCCTCAAGGAAGACCAAACCCACTGTCATCTAGTCAACTTCCACTCACAGAACCCCCATACAGCGTTTCTGAGACGAGATCTTGATGGACGCAGACAGGTTCATCTTTCTCTTGAGAAGCAGTTGGTGGGTTCAAACTGCTGACCTTGTGGTTGGCTGTCCAACGCTTGCGCAACAACGCCACCTTGGCTCCTCCTAGACTCACTGCCATCAAGTCCATGCTGACTCACAGAGACCCCTGTGGTTTCCCGAGACTGCACCTGTTTACAGGAGTAGAAAGCTTAGTCTTTCTCCCTCAGAGGTGCTGGTGGTTTCAAAATGCCAAGCATGCAGTTCGTGAACCAAAGCATAGCCAACTACACCCCCAGGGCTCCTCCAAGAGGACATGACAAGTAAGCCTCCCTCTGAGACACCTGTAGGAGTAAGCAGGTAGGGGAAGAAGGAACAAAGGCTTAGAGCAGCGGTTCTCAACCTGTGGGTTGCCACCCCTTTGGGGGTCGAGCAACAACCTTTTCACAGGGGTCACCTGATTCATAGCAGTAGCAAAATTAGGTATAAAGTAGCAACGAAAATGATTTTATGACGTCGGACAGGGCAAGATATGACAAAATACCCATTTATAAACTATCGAGGGCTCATGCGGGAAGGGGGAGCGGGGAGGGAGGGGAAAAATGAGGACCTAATGTCGGGGGTTTAAATGGAGAGAAAATGTCTTGAGAAACGATGTACAAATGCGCTTTACACAATTGATGTGTGTATGGATGGGGATAACAGTTGTATGAGCCCCTAATAAAATGTTAAAAAAGAAAAAAAAAATGATTTTATGGTTGGGAGGTCACCACAACATGAGGAACTGCATTAAAGGGCCGTGGCATGAGGAAGGTTGAGAACCACTGACTTAGAGGTTAGCGGAGGCCTCTGAGGACCTCAGGAATTGCAGCATCTTTACTTGATGGGTTTCAGGGCAGTTATTTGCAACCCCAACAGGCCCATTGTTCCTTCCTAATAACATATTATGTGATTTTACAAACAAAAAAATTCACAAATAATACAACCAACTTGGATTCCAGATTATATTTATATATCAGAGAGGAATTTATATATATATATACACACACACACACACATATATATATATATCAGAGAGGAATTAAAAGCAAATAGTTTCTTAAGAAATGTCTGCTTCAGTAAGTTGCTGCTAAGGCCCAGCCATCCTCCAAGCTGGAAGGAAGGAAGTACCTGCCCTGTTTGCAGAACCCCTGGGGAGGAGACCAACCGTGCAGCTGGGCTGTGCTAGCCAAGCCAAAAACAATGTCTCCATGATGCCATTTTCCAAAATGGTCAGCCGCTCTTGGTAATGTTATGAAGTGTGCAAAGTACACGCCCCTCGTGGCTAAAGGCTGAGTGATCCAAATCAGTTCATATGCTTGCTGCTAACCAAAAGGTGGTGGTTCAAGTCTACCCAGAGCACCTGGGAAGAATGCTCTGCCAGCCCATTTAAAAAAAAAACCTCTGTCCTTGCAAACCTCATGGAACACAGTTCTCTGATGCTGAGGGTTCCTGCGTTAAGTCAAGGTCAATTCAATGGCAACTGAACTGCAGTTTAGGAAGGTATTAAAGTTAGTATTAACAGTATGTAAAGCTACACTCTGTTGATATGTAAGACAGAGTTAGGTGCGTGCCGTGTGAATGTCTCTAGACAGACGTATGGGACGAGCAGCAGTCCGTCTTTGTACAGAGGTGTGCCCTGCATTGTAGGGCATCTAACAGCCAGTGGCTACAACCAGGGACTCAAACATAGCAATTGTGAGGACGGCACAAGACCAGCCATTGTTTCGTTCTGTTGCGCACAGGGTTGCTATGAGTCAGAAACGGCTTGATGGCACCGGCACTTCACAACCACAAGAAGTGTCACTGAGTGTCAGTAGCATCCCTCCCAACCCCGCACTACCCCACCCCCCACCTCTCACCCCCACCCCGCTCTGTGACAATCCAGTCTCCTGTCTCCCAGGAGAGTTACTTTGAGGCCTCTGGCTTTCTCTCTGGGTCTGCATGTCTCTAGTAGATCTGCCTTTGCCTGTCTGGCCTTCCGGTATTAAAGCCCTGTAGTTCCTGGGGATCTCAGTAGCGGATCTCAAACTTCTCCTTACCCTGCACTGTTTACGTTGGGGGTGGTAAACTCTGAATCCTGTTGGACAAACAGGAAGCCGAGAGAAACGCAGGGAGCTTGATGGGCAGTGTGGGTGTGCGTGTGCGGATCTGCAGTGGGCAGCGCTGTTCTCTGCTGTTTGACCGACTGAGGAGGTGGAACTTAGGCTGGCACCAGGACGTCTGAACCACTTTCAGATAAAATTGTATGCCTTTTTGTATAATGGCTCATTTTTTTCCCATGTCAGTTATGAATTTAATTTTTAAGGCCCCAAATTTACAGCCAACACTAATACAAAATCCCTCAGGTGGGCTGCAGTTCAAAACTGCCAGTTTAATCTGTGGTCTGCACACTTTACTTCATCCATAATCCCTTACCAAGCCCCTTTCCATGGATTATCGGGGAGGTTGGGGGGGACACCAAAAACCCAAGCACACTTTAGAAACACAAACTCCAAAGGTGATCAAGAACTTGGAATTTCTTATTTTTGTAAGGGGAGACAAAAGACAATAAATCTCAACTTTGTGTACTTCGTGTTTTTATAAAATAGAAAAGGAAGCCATTTTCCCCTGTGATTTAAGATGCTCAGTAA